AAATACAGAAACACACTGCAAATACTCACAACACAACCAAATACGGAAAAGCGCTGCAAATACTCACAACGCAACCAAATACAGAAAAGCGCTGCAAATACTCGCAACGCAACCAAATACAGAAAAGCGCTGCAAATACTCACAACGCAACCAAATACAGAAACACACTGCAAATACTCACAACACAACCAAATACGGAAAAGCGCTGCAAATACTCACAACACAACCAAATACAGAAACACACTGCAAATACTCACAACACAACCAAATACGGAAAAGCGCTGCAAATACTCACAACGCAACCAAATACAGAAACGCATTGCAAATACTCACAACACAACCAAATACGGAAAAGCGCTGCAAATACTCACAACACAACCAAATACGGAAAAGCGCTGCAAATACTCACAACGCAACCAAATACGGAAAAGCGCTGCAAATACTCACAACGCAACCAAATACGGAAAAGCGCTGCAAATACTCACAACACAACCAAATACGGAAAAGCGCTGCAAATACTCACAACGCAACCAAATACGGAAAAGCGCTGCAAATACTCACAACACAACCAAATACGGAAAAGCGCTGCAAATACTCACAACGCAACCAAATACAGAAAAGCGCTGCAAATACTCGCAACGCAACCAAATACAGAAAAGCGCTGCAAATACTCACAACGCAACCAAATACAGAAACACACTGCAAATACTCACAACACAACCAAATACGGAAAAGCGCTGCAAATACTCACAACACAACCAAATACAGAAACACACTGCAAATACTCACAACACAACCAAATACGGAAAAGCGCTGCAAATACTCACAACGCAACCAAATACAGAAACACACTGCAAATACTCACAACACAACCAAATACAGAAAAGCGCTGCAAATACTCACAACGCAACCAAATACAGAAACACACTGCAAATACTCACAACACAACCAAATACGGAAAAGCGCTGCAAATACTCACAACGCAACCAAATACAGAAACGCATTGCAAATACTCACAACACAACCAAATACGGAAAAGCGCTGCAAATACTCACAACACAACCAAATACGGAAAAGCGCTGCAAATACTCACAACGCAACCAAATACGGAAAAGCGCTGCAAATACTCACAACGCAAACAAATACGGAAAAGCGCTGCAAATACTCACAACGCAACCAAATACGGAAAAGCGCTGCAAATACTCACAACGCAACCAAATACGGAAAAGCGCTGCAAATACTCACAACGCAACCAAATACGGAAAAGCGCTGCAAATACTCACAACACAACCAAATACGGAAAAGCGCTGCAAATACTCACAACGCAACCAAATACGGAAAAGCGCTGCAAATACTCACAACACAACCAAATACGGAAAAGCGCTGCAAATACTCACAACGCAACCAAATACGGAAAAGCGCTGCAAATACTCACAACGCAACCAAATACGGAAAAGCGCTGCAAATACTCACAACGCAACCAAATACGGAAAAGCGCTGCAAATACTCACAACGCAACCAAATACGGAAAAGCGCTGCAAATACTCACAACGCAACCAAATACAGAAAAGCGCTGCAAATACTCACAACGCAACCAAATACAGAAAAGCGCTGCAAATACTCACAACGCAACCAAATACTCACAACGCAACCGAATACAGAAACGCGCTTTTTGCTCTGTTCCTGAATGCCCCCCCTTGGCGAAAGCCTGCACAGACCCCTCCGAGCCCAAGACGTGTGCTATAATGCCCAGTAGCAACTAGCAATGCATAGCGACACGCTAAAAACCAATCAGAGCACCATAACATCTGACAATCATAAGCAGCATCCTGCCATTGTCTCAGTGAGTTTTGCATAGACAAAATCTTCAGAAAATGTAAAGTTCCAAGAACTATATATACAAAACATTTTCTTTCTAAATAACATATGAGAGCAGACCAGCTGCGATTCCTGAGCGAAGCGGTGGGCGGAAGCATCCTGTTGATTTATCAGATGATTTGTCTGCAGAGATGCCTGAACAGTGTCTCTTCAGTGTGAAGAGTTATGATCTCTCTGGCCGTCCCACCACCTCACTGTTTTACTACCTCCTCGTGTTGCATCTGTCACTACACATGCACACACACTAACTCACTCTTTTATTCACATGTAACGTGCTTGTGGCACCCTTGGGCTTTCTCTTTCTCAGTCTCACAGAGTTCCGCTGTTTGGCAGACTCCGCTGCACTAGGTGTGTGTATGAGCATGCGGTGCTGACATAGAACACGAAACGTGGTGAATAAAGGACTGTGCATTTGTTTATTTCACAATTATTTCACGAGCTATATGGGAACATAAGCAAGTTTGTTTCTTTGTGTTGAAGGATTTGGCAAATAATTTTACTTGCAATATGTGCAGTTTCACTTTTACTTCAAACCATGTTTGAGAATGAAAAGGAGAAATCTTTTCTAAATCTACTTGAAAACACGTGGCAATTTCTTAGAAATGTAATCTTGTGAAAAATGTTTCATGCATTTATACAAAAAAGGTTTATTCTATTTTCAACAAAAATTTAATAACGTAATATCAAGAAAAAAATTAAATATTTTCCATTTATCATTACTTTTATTTTACTATTTACTATTATTTTATTATTATTAATTTAAAATGTTGTTTTTTCGCAAAAAAAATGGAGTTACTGCATTTGACGTAAAAAGATTAAAATATCATATTATCCAACTTTTTGACCTCGACATAAAAAGTTCATATTTTCTGTTTCATTGTTTTCTTGTCACAAACACACACACAAAAATGAACATTTGCATATTGGTTACACCAAACTGAATTGAATTTGGTGGACTCAATCTACAATCAATTTGTAATATTTTGTAATAAATGTTTTATACACACACAAATATATTAGTTATTAATATTATATAATATTTATTACAAACATGTTATTATATATAATTTTACAATTTATTTGTAATATTTCGTAATACATTGTTTTCTAAATTAAATGCTCTACTAATGTTATAAGAAATTAAATGGCAAAATATTTTTTTAACACTATTAATATAAATTGATCTTATGGCACTAATTAAGGTTCATCCAGTTTAGGTGGAGTAACTTGTCATGGTAGAAACAAAAAGGGCATTTGATCTTAATTTGTTTTATTTTAAATTTTAAAACGAGTTTGATTTTAAAAAAGAAGGGAAAAAAAAGAAATCCTTAACAAGTGGAATATCTCATGGAATCCATCCACTTGTTAGAGAGTGTGAGAGCTGGAAGAAACAGCTTCTCAGGACTCAGGAGGGGTTTAGGGGGCAATAACGCTTGCTTGATTAAACAGCAATGGTCCTGCGCACTGTCAGACAGATGGACGGGGCATTTTAAAACGCGACTCTCGCGAGTGGGGAGCGCGCTTGAGCACCTCGCGCTCATAAATCCGCGAATGACGCGGTGCTTCTGTGCATGGCTGTGCCTGTGAAATAATGTTTGCGGTCGGCTCTCTGACTGAGGTCAGGGGGCAAAGCGAAGAGCAGGGCACATAAATCGACAGCTGTATGCTAATCATGTGAATACTGAGCCGTAGATGGCTGATGCGCAGGCTCGCCGCTGGCATTCGCGTGTCGCTCGCGCTTGAGTGAGGAGTGCGCACGAGGGCAATGAAGCGCGTGCCTTTGACTTTGACGTGTGATGGCTTCACTGTAGGGAAACAAGACTGAGCTCTTAGGGAAATTGCTTGTTGCTTAATTAATTACTGATGCTTCTGGATAAACATTTTTTAAAGATGAAGATATTCGGGAGGTTGAAGTATACCCTGGTGAGTTAGAATAAATGATATGTGCTTTATATCAATATAAACTGTTGAGATATTATTTGTTACACGTACTGTATACACATTTTATTACTGTATTTAACTTTAATATTTTCCTGAGTAGTCAGTATATGTCATGTATTTTTTAGTTAGTGTCTATTTAGTATTTTACTTTATTTAGTACAGATGCCTTCGACCTTTTTCAGGCCAAGTGGAGAGAGAGAGATGAAGCAGGGACTATAACTATAAAACTGAGTGTTGCATTTGAAATATAACCTAAAACACTCTTATTGAACCATATTAACCCTGTAAATGAAATAACATGCTGATATTATGAAATTGAACAATTTATTGGACCTTTAGACAAAACATTTTTAAAAAATCGTTTAAAAAGGTTTGCATATATATACTTGAATTTGAGTATCATATTTGATACATCAGGCTTTTATGGCTCATATATATATATATATATATATGATAGGAGAAAATGGAGCTGATTACTAAGGAGGAAAAAAAATATTCAGAAACCATTTTTCCAAAACAAAGAAGATGAAATTCTGAAAGCTTGTAATATGAATCAGTATGAGATCTTTGTATAACAGACTTGCATAAAATGCATAAAGATATCAGTTGTCTGATATTGACATGTTATTATATAATGTACATGTAATTCTTGTTTTTTACACGTGTTTCTGTAATCGTTGGTTCAGGCCATTAGCCGGATATAAAATCAATGGAAACCTATGCAATCTCCTTACTAATATAATGTAACAAACGTGTGTGTGTGTGTGTGTGTGTGTGTGTGTGTGTGTGTGTGTGTGGTCAGAGCACAAAACTTGAAACATCCATTGGAAGGTCAGTGTCATTGATGTTGGAGGAGAAATCATTCATTGAGCATTTTAGAAAACATCGCTAACATCTCAATAGCAACACAGTTGGTTTATAGATATCTCAATACCTCAAAGTCAGGAAAGCCATTAAGTGGCTGCCGGTCATTATTGATTGAAATAAGAGGGATTAGATATGGCTGCTATGGTCATGGGGATTATGTTTTGACTGATAGGGATTAAGTTTTGTCTTTTGTCTGTCTCGCAGAAGACTTAACAGAACAATAAGGGTCCTCGGTACTGACTGATAAGGTCTGGTTTCTGTGTGTGCTACTGCTCTGCCTGAATCACGTAGAGCTGCTCTGTTTTGCGTGACAGGATTTTGCTTACGATGACTCCAAGGCAGAATTCAACATGGATGCTCCCAATGGTGTCGTGATGGAGGGATACCTGTTCAAGAGGGCGAGCAATGCTTTCAAGACATGGAACAGGTAAGAAGAACAGGCTCTATATGTACGACTTTCCATGCATTGTGTGGAGAAAATCTAATATTTTGTTTTCCTCTCGTACCAGGCGATGGTTTTCGATACAGAACAGTCAACTAGTGTATCAGAAGAGACTAAAAGTAAGTGGTTCAACTTTGCTATTCTTCTATACAGCACCTCTTAAACTATATCGAACCCTATAGAGCCATAAAGAGTTCTGTCAGGAGCTTCATATATTAGAATTTTTTAAGTGTTCATTTTATGGATTTTTTTTGTTGTTGATAACATTTTATGGAACAGCTCATAAACATACTTTATCACTTATAAAAAAAACATTCGTTTTAAGTATTGTGCAATCATTTAAGACATTTCTCCTTATATAGAACCTTTTTGAGTCAAGAATGCTAGGGTTCTACATAGACCTTATGTAGCCACGCCCCTTTTCCACGCTGAACTCATTGTCTTTTGACTTCCGGTCTGTATTTTCACAGCGATCTTGCGTAGTTATGAATGAACGGGTCGTTAAAAAAATTCCCAAGGTCCATTTGTTAAGACATATGCTTTACAATGCTTATCATAAACATTACAATGCTCATGATAACTTTCATTAACTCTACAATAAGTAAATCAACTTCACCAGTTAATTACTCCTGGACAGCGATGCCATAGAAATATACAGAGCGACCGCAAAAACGGAAGTTCAAAGACAATATTCTAAAGATGGCGGTGCCCTCGTTTCTCTGGTGCATAACGTACAATCACTAGTGATCATTAAATCCCTTTTAACAGTTTATTTCACAGACTAAGACAAGTCTTCTACTTTTTCCCCACAAAACCTTTAGTATTAGCATTATAAACACTGAATTTAATTAATACCAACATATAAAATTAAGTAAAGGACATGCTATATCAGATAATTGGGAATGTTGGACAATAAATAGCCTATATAACAGCAATAGAATAGCTTTACAGTAAACTGGTTTTTTTGTTGTTGTTTTTTTGCAGTACTATCTTATATTAATGAGCGTTAAAGCAAGACTATGTAAACAAAAAAACAAAAACGCAGCCACTGTCCAAAAGTGGCAATTTTAGGATAACAGACACAGCAATGCATCATGTTCCATAAGATCATCATGTTTGTAGCATGATCCAGGGGATTAAAACGTACAAAATATATTTCAGGCCTAGTGGAGTTGGTAACTAATAATAGTAGTAAATGTGTAAAGTTGCATAAAATGGAAATACTCAATAAAGCAAGAAAAAACTACCTCATGTATTTAATGATTGGATTCCACAACTGATAAAAAAACAAAACATATACAAGACAATACAGCATTTACTGTAGGTGTACCAAGTGAACAAAATTTACTGATGGCTTAATTTAAGAAATTTTCTATTGCGCTTCTGATGTGGCTGGAAGATTCTCTGATTTTGGTTGCGCAACAGGGAGTTTGTCCAGTAACTCCAGTTGGAATATTCACCCCAAAATGGCGGCCGCGCCACCGAAGCGCCACCTAGTGGCGGTTTCCAAAAAAGCATCAGAGTTTCGCCTCTTGTTCTTCTATACTCTTTGCTTTTACTGCTTTCAAGTGCTACAAATGACTATTGTGACCTGACATTGCCAATCTGCTGTGTGTCGTAGGACGTTTTGACTGTGGTTGTGGAGGACCTGCGGCTTTGCTCTGTGAAACCATGTGAGGACATTGAGAGAAGGTTCTGTTTTGAAGTGGTGTCACCTACAAAGTGAGTACTGTGTCGTGTGTGTGTGTGTGTGTGTGTTTGGGTATGTGCGGTATCTAATATGCGAATCAACCCCCATCAGGAGCTGTATGCTGCAGGCTGAATCGGAGAAGCTCCGTCAAGCTTGGATTCAGGCGGTTCAGGCCAGCATTGCTTCTGCCTACAGAGAGATTTCTGAAAACTATTACATAGAGGTTAGTCTTTCTAACTCTGCTCTGAGAAGCTGTATATAATGTGTGAGTGTCACACTAGCTGTAACACAACTAACACAAACTGTAAAACTGGTGAAAAGTCATTTCAAAGTTCAGATTAAAGTTTGGAATTGGGTCAGTGACAAATAGGAGTGTCTAAAATAAAGAATAAGAAAAATCTTTTAAAAATCGAATTTAAATTAGATTTTTTTTCCATACCATTTCAAGCAAAGTATAAATTGACTGACTTTAAAAATGCCATGTGGTATAATAAAGTAAAATTATAATCTTCCTTACACATTGAATAAACTTGAATGAAACATATTTGAAAACTTTTTGAAAATGTATGATTATTATGTGTACGAGGTAAATATCATAAATTATTAAATCAGAACAGTCTTTTACAATCGGAACTAATTTGTCTTTTTATAAAAAGGTCAAATTATCAGATGTGATGTCATTTCCTGTTTTATGGTCGTTGTTTTTTTTGCACCACATGACAGGACAAAATATATTAATATTTTACAAAAATATTAATAAGCAGTGAAGCACTTATGACCCCCCCCCCCCAAAAAAAAAATACATGTGAGCATACATGTGTTAATTATTTTCCAAAAAATATACTTTTGAAAGTAATTTTTTCACATATCATAAACTAATAATTGATAAATATCATTAGATTTGGGTGGGAATTGAGGCATTTTATAATCTGCACTAATTTTGCCTTTTCATAAAAAAAATCTAATTATCAGATATTTTAAGAGGTTTATTGACCTTGACATACAGTTATGAGGATCTTCACAGGTCCTTTCTGTGATGTAATTTCCTGTTTTATGATTTTTAGTCGCACCATATGACAGAACAAAGGTTTGTTGAATATTAATTAGCAGTGAAACACTTAAAAATACGTGAGTGTACACGTCTTAAGTATTTTCCAAAAAGTTTGAAAATATATTTTGAAGATAGATATTCAGACAAGTATTATAAATAATTAATTAATTCATATAATATTACATTTGGGGGAGTTGCACCACATGGCATTATACGATCTGAACTAACCTTGCCTTGTCATAAAAATATCTAATTATTATAAGAGGCTTACTGTCCTTGAGACACAGTCATGAGGGTTTTCTCTCTTTGATGTCATTTCCTGACTTTTTTTGTACGTTGGTTGCACCACATGACAGGACAACTTTGTATAAATTATTATTAAGCATAATTAAGCATAATGAAACACCCCCCCGAATAAATGATCAAAAAGAATGAATTCCTCAGTCTACGTATGAATAGCATACCATGCCATGGACCCTATTACATAAATTGCATTTTACATAGTTTTGTATTTGACATAGAGTACGTATCAGTATAAACTCTTTGTACTGTTCGCCAGCGTCTGGACAGGACCGCTTCTCCCTCCACGAGCAGTATCGACTCTGCCAGCGAGCCGCGGGAGCGTATCGTTAGAGGAGAGAGCATCTTACAGCGTGTGCAGTGTCTGCCGGGAAACGAGATCTGCTGCGACTGTGGCCAGGCCGACCCGCGCTGGGCCAGCATCAACCTCGGCATTCTGCTCTGTATCGAGTGCTCTGGGATTCACAGGTGAGAGCTCGCTTCCTTTTTGGATGTTATAAGTTATATCACAAAGCAATATAAAACCGGTCATTGGTAGTTCAGACATCTTACAGCCGACATACTGGGCGAATTCCAAATGGTGATTTTACACCCTTGAAGGAAACATTTGAAGGAACGTACCGAATGAAAGTGAAAAACTGAATCCCTTCATGGCCGTTAGCATAATACATTTTATCATATTACATTTTTAAAATTTATCAAAGAATTGTATCATATATGGTCATGTGACCCAGGGTGGATTCATTTTAAAGCTAGAAGGTGGGAGAGGTCGAGTTAACGTATAAGCAATAATTCAGGTTGTTTTGTATGTGTGTTATATTACACATATTTGTGATTACAAATATGTTTGTTATGCATTTCAGTTTGCAGTTATGCAGTTTAAATGGTTTTCATAGGTAGTAATTGTGTTAGATACATTAGGTAAATGTGAACGCCTTCTGTGTCCAAAAATGAGAAGGCAAGTTTCAAAGAGGGAACTTACACACACAGGGCCTAAAACTAACGTTTTGCCACACCTGTAAATGTAAAATGTACCAGCCATAAACAATTTTGTACCGGCCATGAAACAGGCATGCAAAAACAGACAGTAATGACACCAAATTTTAGATACCAGTGAAAATTCACAATTCTCTAGCTATTCCAATTTTGATACCATAGCTAAAATTACTAGCCTTACTAATATAAATTTAAAACATTATTAAAGACAAGTAAACAGTCAGTAATAAAATAAGAACAAATAATCAAATTACAAGCGAAAGCACAAATAAATACAATATAACAAATATACAAATGAAATAAACAATGTTTTTCAGGTAGGTCTGAGTAGTTTACAGGCACAGAAATTTAATAAAGTACGCAAATGTAAAATAACACTATAGTCTTCACTGTATAGATTAAACATCCTCATTAATTAATCCTTATTAAAGTTGCAAAGGTTATTCAGTCAAGAGCAGCGTCATTCATCGTTGTTGTAATTCATAAAAATGTTACGGGCCAACTGGCGAGTGACACCGTTTATATATACTCGCCAATGCCGATCTTTACTCTTATTTGTCGCTTGGCGAGTGTTCATTTTATGCCGTGCGCACACATATATAAAGCATTTAACTGTACAATATATATTTATTTGCATCTATTAAATTCTTAAATTGTAATAGCAGCTAATGGGATGATGGAAACCATTCTGCATTGTCCTGGTAACGTTCCAGGTGAAAATAATGAGGAAATTACGTTATTTTTGTTGTATTTTTGGGCCCTTCAGAGTGAGCGGGGCAAAGGGATGCTCACTTCCAATTATAATGTGCCCACATACTATCTAAACATCTGAGAAGCCATCTGTTTCTATATTGTTTTGACTGAAGATTGACAGGTCTTAAAGCCACCTGCGTCAGTGCGTTTATCCCGACTACATCTCCCATGACAGATTGAACCCATCAGCAGAATGGCTTTACGTGAAGGCAGGCCCTCGTCCCTATGATGCTCGTGTACACACTGCGTCATTCCCTCAGGGTGAAGCACCTTTTCTGCTTCATCAGTTCCTCTGCAGATTACCGGCGCCAGCCTGATAATCAGATTACGTCTCTCTTACCTCCTCAAAGACTGCACTCATAATACACAGAGGCATTAGATTTGATTTGCTCAGATACAACAGGGGCTGCAGATGGAGATCTGACAGATTCTGATGGGTTTCTACAGGAGGCTGACACAAATGTGTGCTGCCATTGTTCCAGTTTGACTAGTATAAGTGAAAAATGTATTTTTAATCCGCTTATGTCACGGCAAAATATAACTGAATGTATAAAATGTATGTGTGCCTAAATCAGAATAATTCCATATTGAAGATTCTTGAATAGCCGCCCTATAGGGTCATTTTTATGATCTCTATTCTATGTCTGCAGGAGTTTAGGTGTCCACTGCTCTAAAGTTCGCTCTTTAACACTCGACACGTGGGAGCCAGAGCTTATGAAGGTAAGACCTGAGTGATGAAGTGAGATCTGAAAGGGTGAATCTCATTTCACCCCAAACAAAAAGATATCAAAGAAAATATACATATATTTTGGTGAAGAAAATAAAATGAAGAAACTTTATTTAATTATACAAATTATAATTATAATCTAATATTAAGCACATGTTCCCCCCAAAATATCCATTACCTTTTTCAAAACTTCATTCTCATTACTATAATGCAGATAAAGATGTATTATTTAAATTGTGAAGTATGCATGGATCATTGTAGTATTTGTTTTATGATCTTTAATTTTGGCTGATTTAAATAAATGGAAAAAAATACATAATGCATTTTTTTTATAAATAAAGAAGTTTACATGCAAATGAACTGCATAAAATTCAGTTTTATAATAACAATAATAATGAGAATTACAACTAAAAAATAATAAGCGTTATGGGGGATGGTTAATTATGAAAATAGACTTCAATAAACTTTTCTTTATACATTCACCCAAACAGTGTTGGGGGTAACGCATTACAAGTAACGTGAGTTACATAATCAGATTTCTTTTTTTTGCAAGTACGAGTAAAGAAACGCATTACTTTTAAATCTACAATAAAATATCTGAGTTACTTTTTCAAATAAGTAATCCAAGTTACTTTATTTTCCCATTTATTGACTGACAGCTCTCCTGTCTCCATGTTGAGGGAAATCGTGAGTAAGTGCAGAGGCGATGTGTGTGAACATGATGGGTATTGTAGTTCGAGACTAAATGTAAACATACATTTACTTATCCCACTAGCACAAAAACAGATTCAGTATTCCTCAAAATAAATAAAAACTGTCAAATACAAACAAAAAAACTGCATTAAATGTTAAATAACACAAATATACTTTATGTATTTAATCTTACTTTATTAACCAATGTCTTTGCTGCTGTCCCTCGATGATCTACTTTTTCAAAAGTAACTTTCCCCAACACTGCACCTAGTATAGTTTCCTAAAATCCTATACTTCCTACACTATAGTTTCCTATGCTTTCATTTAATCTTAGATATGCTTATTACATGGTCTTGGTTATAATATTTTTGACTTTTATTGATTGAATAATGCTTTATGACTGCTTTCTCTCTAGCTAATGTGTGAGCTTGGCAACACTGTAATCAACCATATTTATGAAGGTGCATGTGAGGAACAAGGACTAAAGAAACCCGGTCCCAACAGCTCGAGGTCAGTGTGTGGCCAAATCTCTGCCATTGCATTGTATTAATTACCATAATTTATAACTTAAATTAGGGATGCACGATATATCGGTCACCGTATCGGTATCGGGCGAAATATGTTAATTTTTAATGTTATCGGCCTGATAACGATAATATTAAAAATTAACATATTTCGTCCGATACCGATACGGTGGCCAAATCTCTGCCATTGCATTGTATTAATTACCATAATCTATAACTTAAATTAGGGATACCGTATCGGTATCGGACGAAATATGTTAATTTTTAATGTTATCGTTATCGACCTGATAACAAAAATTGGTAAATAATGGATTTTTTCCTTCATCTGAGACACTTCAGATGTGCACTGTTCAACATGATGGTTTTGAATTGATTGAAATATGATTGAAATCATTTAAAAAAGGAAAATACAGTCAAGTGCAACAAGTATGCCATATAGGCTAGGTAAAATTATAATGAGAACATTATAATTGTGTGCTTGGGACATGGCTTTTGAATAGTGAGACTTGTTTTTGTAATCAGGCTCTCAAAAATTATATAAAAATTTGGATTTCGATTTATCGGCCAATATATCGTAGCCTGGGAAAACCCAGACAACTTCCGGCAAATTTAGATTTGCTCTGAAAGTTAGTCTGGCAAAGAGCTCATTCAAGCCCATTTCAAATCCGCCGAAATCGAGGCACCAATCAGAAGCTTTGGGGCGGGCTTTACACGATGACGACAGCGCTGGGATTTTGAACATGATTTTGTAGCCTACATTACAGAGATGGACGCCGCCGTCGAACATCACTCGTTCCAATCAGCTATCGCGTCTGTTTTAAGCCATTTGAACGTTTCCTTTTTGTTAAAAACCGAGCAAAGAACAACACTCGGATGTTTCTCCGCCGCTCTGCATACGTCATCTCCTTCATCGCTCTGATTGGGTTTAGGTCTATCCGCGACGTCCGTTGGTGACGCCCCTCTGGAAATGATTTGTCTATGACGCTTTGCCAGACCATAACTCAGTTACAACTGAGAATGCTCTGGTTTTAACCAGGCTAAATATATCGGCTTTCAAATATAAACAATTTTCATATCGGTGCATCCCTAACTTAGATAATATGTTTTTTCCTTTTGATGTCATTATATTTTTATATATTGAATGTTTCATTAATAGAAGCTCCCGTTTCTGCTTCTGATGTTTTATTTAGGCAGGAGAAAGAAGCGTGGATCAAAGCGAAATACGTGGAGAGGAAGTTTCTGAAGAAGATGTGTGGGTCCGAAGCCCTGGTGGAGGGCAGCAGGAAATCACGTCACTGGAGCGTGAAGAAGTGCAGGAGACACAACAGCTCCATCAGAGCCCCTAAAACACGCCGGAAATACAGGCACGACGCCGGGATCATGTCGCCAGGCAATCTCTCCGCTGGTAATGGCTTGGTCATTTCTGAACATGTTTGTTCTACTCATCTGAGTTGGACAAAGTGAGAATTGGTCTCCAGTTCTCATGTCAAATCATCTCAAATTGACATGATGTCCTTCTCTGTTTGTCACCCTCAGCTGCAGCAGCCGCCAAGTTTCGGAGAGAATCTTTGTTTTGTCCCGATGAGCTTGATTCACTCTTCTCTTACTTTGACACAGGCTCAGGGCCTCGCAGTAAGTTTCTTATGAGACTTTATCTTCTAAATGACCCTGAGACAACCATGTCTATCACATATATCTCCTGCTGTCAGTGCTAAGGGAAAGTTACTTACAACATTGCATTACTCCCTAAAAAGTAGCTTTTTGTGGTACCTAGTTACTTTTTATGGAAAGTTATGTTACATTACTTTTACTTTTTTTTAGGTTACTTTTGTTTTTTAATAACAAAAAAGTTCTATTTTTGGCAAATGTAAAGTCCCTTTCACACCAAAATTGAAATGAATAAGTCTCAGACTGAAGGGAATGCAAATTCACACCGGTACAGTAGAGGGCGCTGTTTAAAAAAAGCTTTCAGCTGCGTTGCCGTTCTGGTGCGTTTCCCGAAAGCATCGTTAGCCAACTATGTTCGCTAAGTTCCATCGTTATCAGGATAGTTTAACGAGTCAGTGTTTCCCGAAACCATCGCACAGTGGTGTGGTTGGAACGACAGCTCTCGACCTGTGGTTAGAAGCAGAGTGTATTGTTTGTATGACATGTGGACTCAATAAATCCTTATCTTGAGCCAAATAAGCAAGTTGACATTCAGTACAACCTGTGTCTTTCATTTAGAAAACAAACAAATGTCATTTACGTCTTTTAGTTTGTCAAGAGATTTGCATGTGCGAATGTGCTCTATTATGTAAGAACGAGCCTATGATTGATTCTAGAAAAATGAGAAATAGTCCTCAGATGTCATGTCTGTAATTTATATAAAAACATCTAGCGTTAATTCTATCTCAAACAGTTTCATTAAAAGAAGTTATTACTCCTCCACGTGCGTGACGTCATAAACCAACGTGGTTGAACGACCACTTTGCGACAATATGGTTTCGGGAAACAGTCGTGACTTAGCTAGTTGATTTCTTCAACAATGCATCGTACTATGGTAGTGAAGAGGAGTGGACCAAAATCCCACAGGCCACAATCAACAACCTGATCAACTCTATGCGAAGGAGATGTGTTGCACTGCGTGAGGCAAATGGTGGCCACACCAGATACTGACTGGTGTTCGGACAACCCCCCCCCCCCCCCCCCCCCAATACACTGCACATTTTGTATGTGTATATGAATGCCTGTTCGGGCTGCTTTTTTTAGATACTATTTATTTATTAATATATATATTTTTAAAGTTATATTAGGAATGATGCACTGGCTGGTCAGCACTTTAACCTCTTTTCGTTGTACATGTGACAGTGACAATAAAGTTGTCTATCTATTTTATCTATTTTAGAGTGGCCTTTTATTGTGGACAGCCCTAAGGCACACCTGTGCAATAATCATACTGTCTAATCAGCATCTTGATATGCCACACCGGTGAGGTGGATGGATTATCTCGGCAAAGGAGAAGTGCTCACTAACACAGATTTAGACAGATTTGTGAACAATATTTGAGAGAAATAGGTCTTTTGTGTACATAGAAAAAGTCTTAGATCTTTGAGTTCAGCTCATGAAAAATGGGGGCAAAAACAAGTGTTGCGTTTATAATTTTGTTCAGTGTAGTTACTTACAAGGTAATCTGATTACGTAACTTGCGTTACTTGTAATGCGTTACCCCCAACACTGTTGATTTTTATAGAGAATGGCTACAGGAACATGTAGCCTGTTTCAGATTAATTTTATGATGTACTGTGTGAGGAGGAGTTTAGCACAGGATGTTTGAGGAGGTCACGGTGTGAGTAACTTGTCCCTCGCTTGGCACCCGTTGGCCCCGCAGGTCTCAGCAGTGACAGCGGGCTTGGCGGCAGTACGGACGGCAGCACGGACATACTCGTTTTCGGCTCAGTGGTGGACAGTGTCACTGAAGAAGGTGAGAAGATGTCCTATATTAGTATATCTATCTGTTGTGCGTATCTCCATCTTTATCTTCCATGTCTTTCTGTTTTATTGCAGAGTGTGAGGACTCTGATGAATCCAGCGGAGAGGTTGATATCGAGCAGGAAGCGTCGGATCCAGAAGACGGGCGGGAGCTTGACCCGAGCGCTCTGCTTCACAAGGCGTCACGGGCCAGGAACCTCCCGGTCATGGCGGAAGCACTCGCACACGGTGCAGATGTCAACTCAGTCAACGAGGAGGACGAAAGCAAGAGTGCATTAATACAAGCCGTCACAGGGGTGAGACGCTTTCTGTACTGGAAAAGAAAATTGGTGTAGGATTTATTTTGAAACCATTTATACTCATAAATTGCTAGTAAATTTCAAAAATAATTACAGAGAAATCGGAGATAAAACATTAAATGAAACCTGAAGGTTTGAAGTAGAAAGACCAAAATAGTATTTTGTGTTATATTACAATAGTACAAATTGTATTATTTTTAGGGCTGTCCGTTAAACGCGTTATTAACGGCGTTAACGCAAACCCAATTTAACGGCGTCAATTTTTTTATCGTGCGATTAACGGTCTTTTTGGCCTAGCAAACTTTGTCGTTTTTTTCACATGCTTTTGCAACAGGACGCGGCGCTGCGCTATGAAACCCATTCATTTCAATGGCTTGAGCCGCGCGAGGACGTTCTGTTGCTTCGTCGACCAAAGCGCAAGCGGATCTAGCTAGACCGGAAACAAAACAACAGGCACGCCGCACACACTTGCGTTGCGGAAATGGATGCCAATAAGATTCTGAATGGAAAGTTTACTTTTAAAAAGTTGCCAAATGGTTCCATTGACAAGACCAAAGTGATCTGTGTGTTTTGTCGTTGTGAACTGAGCTATCATCATCGCAGCACGTCCCGTCTGAAATACCACTTGATGATGGCCAAGCACACACACACACACACACACAGCTGATGCGAATTCTCCGCCCCTCGTCAAAATCAGGACCTCGTCAGTATTTCTTTCACCCTTTTATTGAGGGACAGTGTCACATTGTGTGAGAGATTATTTGCTCCAAGTGAGAATGTTAGTGTGAAATTGAACACTGCATATGCCAATGTTGTTTTCAATAAAAAACATTTGCACAAAGCAAGCCGATCCACTTTTCCATGTTGAAAAGAGCATTAAAATAAGAAACAATGATGGGACAAAAAGAAATCAAGAGACATTTAGAATAAATAAAAATGTGCGATTAATTGCAATTAATCGCGAGTTAACTATGACATTTAATGCGATTAATCGCAATTAAATATTTTAATCGTTTGACAGCACTAATTATTTTACACTTTTTTTTCAGTGTATACTCCCTGTACAGCTAATAGTGTAAATTATCGGTGTTTACTTTACTCAATGTTTCTCCTAATGTTTGATATCCCTCTCATAGGGCTCTCTGATCGCCTGTGAGTTCCTGCTGCAGAATGGAGCAGATGTCAATCAGAGGGACGGACGAGGACGGGCACCTCTCCACCACGCCACGTGCCTGGGTTACACGGGGTAAGAAATCACTCAAGACTGTGACAACCTTGCATAAAAGTTTTGTTTAGGAAATCTAGTGATCTGTATGGAAACTTGTTTCCGCCACAGAATAAAAAATAAAAAGGTAATTGCGACTTTTTATCTTTTTATCAGAATTGCGTGATATAAAGTCGCAATTGTGTGTTATAAAGTAAGAATTGCGTGATATAAAGTCCCAATTTCATGTAATAAAGTTAGAATTGTGAAATACAAATTCGCAATTGCGAGAAATAAACTTGCAATTCTGACTTTTTCTCAGAATAGCATGTTTATATCTTGCAATTCTGACTTTATAACATGCAATTGGGAGATATAAAGTCAGAATTGCATGATATAAAGTCCCAATTGCGTGTCAAGCCAGAATTGTGAGATATAAACATGCAATTCTGAGAAAAGATGTCTGAATTACGAGATATAAACTCGCAATTGTGAGATAAAAAGTTAAAATGTTTTATTCTGTAAGTTTCCATAGATCTGCTTACCGGGACAGTTTGGTACCAAAATTCACAAGCTTAGCGCCAAGGTTGTTCAAACAGTAGGAAAGCAAAGCTCACCTCCACAATGCTAGAGAACTGCGAGAGGTTTGCTAGGGTGTAGATATGCACTGATATACTTCACATGAAATTAAGGAATGAATCATTTCAATTGAAATCAGGCCAAAACAAAGTTTATTTTGAGTTGGTTTCAAGGGTTCGAAATATCTTGGCAAAGCTAACTTTCCGGAAAATACCTTCGCACTATCATTGGTCCGTGGCGATTATTTAATAGGTAGGTGTTCCCTGGGGCTCCGTCTTTCATCCCCTTTTCGCCGGTTCATTTCTTCTTTCCAGTCAGTCGCGGTCAGACATCCCATATATAGTGCTATATACTGTATATACACCTTGCCTGTCCATAAAAGGCGCTGTTTGGATTTAAATATGCAAATGCTTAAGAGTCTATGGTTGGATGATTATTGCAGTGATTATTATGTTTCTAGCATGCTATATGATTGGCAACAGTTCTTCTAACCCTAATCGATGGAGTGTATAGCTTTTCATTTCTTAAACAACCATGTAGAAAGACACATCATGGCCATATTCCAGGATCAAGATTATCATCAGATTTAAATTGTGAAAGAATGGTTGGGAGGAGAATGAAGAATAGTTTTCACACATGAATCGGCTCCTCCGAGTCCAGAGCTTAAATTCATCCAAAGTGTTTGGGATGTGCTGGAGGAGACTTTACAGAGTGCTGGACTCAATACAAGATCTGGACCAAAAACTGATGCACCTCTTGATGGAAATCAATGTTGTGATGTTATTTCCGTCAAGAGGTGCATACATTTTGTGAAGTTACACAGTGAAGTTTTACTTAACCCTTTGTGTGTTGTTTGTTTGTGTCCACAGACAGGTGTGTTTGTTCCTGAAGCGAGGAGCCTCTCAGATGGAGGTGGACGGAGACGGGCAGGACCCTCTCAGTATCGCTGTTCAGGCAGCCAATGCAGACATCGTCACATTGTAAGTCGAGTACTTCACTTCCCTTGTAGATTCTCCCAGAGACTCGTACAGCAACATAGTGTCGGCCCAGATACGGCCCACATGTGGAATCCACATGTACCCCGGATCTGGGCCGACACTATGTTGCTGTCTGGGAAGCCACTGCACACGAAACCCATGTTTTTGTTCTCTCTGTCTCGGTTAGATTGCGGTTAGCTCGGATGAATGAAGAGATGCGGGAAGCGGACGGGCCCTTCGGACAGCCAGGTCAATATCCCAGCAGCAGTCCCACAGAGCAACAGTACAAAAAGTGTATTCAGGAGTTTATCTGCCTCACGATTGACGAATGCTAGGGGGCGCTCTTGAGCGCTGGCAGCTTGTGAGGAGGACCACGTACTCAGTTTGTAGCCCGTAACAGGAATAGCTTTAGCAAGGATCGAGTGATATCCTCACCTGACCAAGTATAGTTTACACGTTGTGTTCGTATGTATGTGGTTAACACAAAATATTGTAACGGAACGGCTATTTACAGTATACATGACAGCTAGAGCCGTCATTCAAACGTGACGTTAATCGCGATGTAATAATAAATTGATGGGTTAACGGCCTTGTCTTACTGAATTAGAATTCATTTGTAATTCAAAAACAGCATTTCTTGAGTGTTATTGAGTCATTACGTGCAAAATATGACCGTGCGCACTTTTCCTACCGACAGTATTTTTTTGTTTTTTACAACAGAGTTCTTTTCTTTTTATGTTATTTTGCCTCATGTAAATGATGTGCTTTTTATTTATGTTCCGTCCTGAGGATTAGTGCAATTATAACTAGAATATGGAAATATGTATGGGCATTTACGTTTGCCTAACTAGACCTTTTTCGTCTTTCGCATTTCAAAAACACATCAGAACCCCTCAAATGCTAACAAAACGGGTGTTTGACCCCTTTAAAGTTTTAAAAAGATGTCAGCTATTCGAAATTATTTATAAAACGTATCGCAGCCGTCTGTTTTATATATTTGTACTTGTATTGCCAAGCTCCCAAATGACTGTCATGTGATTTTTAATGAGAAATGCTTGTCTAGGAGCAGTCTGTCTGTGAAAGCAGTCAGTATTTGCATGCGTTTACTCGCTCGCATACCAAGGCAAATCTGCCTGTCTGCATTAGCAAGCATGGTTCCTTATTTTAGCCACCTGAAGCTGTCATTATGTAAAAATGCATGACTGCAGATGACATCTGCGCTGTGTTGTCCATTTTTTGACCACGTTTGGTTCAGATTATCCCAGTTTTAAGAATACGCCATCAGAATCCTATCAACACTACAAACGTAGCTAATTTAAACAGCTTATCTTAAGCAGTTAGCAATATGCTAAGCTGTTAGCTTGCTAACTAAGACAAATTTTATCAAATAAAATCTAACAAATTTTAGCTTTGACATTTTAATGATTAAGAATAAATACACTGTGAATAAGATAAATGAAAAAACATTCAGTGTTGTGAATGAAACAAATTGATTTGTGGTGTAGTGGGATAGGATTCTGTGTGACGCTCTGGCATTCATGACTGGATTTTTACAAGTAAAGGTGAAGTGTGTAAAAAAAAAAATTGGACTGTTCAAACTGAACATTCTCTCAATCTGCCATTGGTCAACAAACAAATAGTTAAATAGGAACCCGAGCACAAAAAGAACTACAAAATTCGACCGCTTTATGGCATACGTCACTTCCCCCACCACCCCAACTTCCTCAAATTCTAACGTGAGAGCTCAACTCGCGTTTGATTGCCGGCGTCTGTATGTTGTCGTCATGGCTGAATCAACAGCTACTCGGAAGAAAGCGAAGAAAGCAAAGATTTTGTCAGAGGAGACCAAAAAAAGAAAAGGGAGAGTTTAAAATAAACCGGCATAAAAGTGTATATATAATGTAATATTTACTGCGAATTCGTGTAACAAAACTGATATAAGTCACAACATACTGCCGTATACAAATGTAAATGTTTTTTTTTTTCCTTTCAGCTCATATATGTTTGTATTTGTGTAAAAGGAAAAACAAACTGAAGACTACAAATAACGGAAATATGTAGTGAGTTATATCAGTTTTGTTACACGATTTCCCGACTACTCGATTTCATCTCCAACCCATTGCAAAGAGATCCTGAAGACGTTAATTGTTTGCTTCAGGTGTGTTTGATTAGGGTTGGAGATGAACTGTGCAGGACAGACGATCAGCAGGAGCAGGATTGGGCAACCCTTGTCAATGCGACTTACCTGATCAGACATTGTTTTCTGCGTATGCTACTTTTATTCAATTTGTTTTCTTTATAGGATTTATATTATTAATCTTATATTTATATTATTATTTTGGTCAGTAGTGAATCGATTAACTTTCTCCAACATACAAATCAAATGCCGTCTGCACACACATAAAGACACGGGAGGCTGACCGGTTGACTGTTTGTTGACTTTTGCGACAATGCTGCGGCGCTTGTGGCCTCTAGGGGCACTAGACGTGAAAATTACAGGTCGAGCGCACCCTAGTGGCCAAAAATTCCACAGTGTGCCTTTAAGGGGACTCGGCCTATGGTTTACTCATAGTTTCTGACATAGAAACACATTGAATAATGACACACTTCACCTTTATACAGGTAGGCTATTAAGCAAGTGCAAAAGACGGAAATTAATCGGAAAACAAAACATCTCAATGGAAGTAGCTTGAAGAAAGGAAAATGTAATTGTACATTTTAAGTTTTTGTTTTAAAGAAACAATCGATGAACTGAAATTGAGTTTTTATCATCTGAAAATAGAGACCGTGTATAGAATAGTAATTCGCCAAGAAGGGACCAGTTCAGTCATTGTGTCTGGATGTGTTTTAAACAAACGTTTAGCTGAAAAAGTACGTAACTACTGTGCTGTGAATATGCTTTGACCTTTGAACTCTTTTCAACTGCTTGCTCTCTCTCTCTCTCTGTCTCTCTTTATTGAACTGTGGTTCTTGCGTTCGGACCTTTAACTCGTTTTCTCTTGCAACATTCGGTGCAATCTGTTTTCACACTGTTAGATGACGTTCTGTGTTTGGAGACATTCTTGTATTGTTTGTACAATTGTTTGTTATTGTTTGTATGACAGAAGTCTATAAAAAGAAGCTTGTCTTTTGAAACACTGACAAACAATAAAACAGGCAAAGTCTTGAGCTCATATTTCTGCTCTGCTCTTTCTCTCTTACGACACGTTCTGCATCAGCTTGCCGGTCCTTACGAAGGCTTTTGCAGACAGTGAGGTGTTGGGGTGGGGATTTTTTTTATAATGCAATTTTCCCATGCAAGGCGTATTTTCTGTGTTTCTGCTGTAATTTATATTGTGATGGTAACATTGTCTTACCAGGTATTATTCCTCTTTTAGAAGCCAGTATACCTGTGAGTCCACTGAGGGTAACGCGCAAGAGTTTACGAGTGAGTGATGTTACAGACTGTTCACTACTGGGTTTGGGTCTTTCACTTTATGGGTCTCTTACCTCATTTAAAAGGGTTCTGGGATTATACTTGTGTGCTACTGACTCAAGAACATCATAAATATATCTTGAAAACGCTGCTCGTCGTCAGTATGATCTCTGAGCTCTCTTCCTGAAAACAATAACCCTGTTTTTGTTACATGTTCTCTTCACACAAATCACACTGGTGCTTTAAAAAAATCACATGGGTTAGTTGATCAATTTCCTTATTTTTTTATTCAACACAAAGATTTTAGTTTCACATTTAGATTGTATGTGTGTATTTACAGTGCCTATTAAATGTCTGGGGTCGGTAAAAAAAAAGTTTAAAAATACAGTAAAAAATATATATATTGAATTATTACTAAGCTGTTTTCTGTTTGAAAATATATTAAAGTGTATTTTATTTATCTGATCAAAGCTGAATTTTAATATGCTGATTTGCTGCTTAGATATTTGTTTCAATATTTTATTTGATCAATTTAATGCATTCATGCTGAATGAAAGTATTAATCTGACCCCACACCTTTAAACGGTAGTTTATGTATATAGTAGTATGGTAGTTACAGTATTACATATTGCATTCATTGTTAATATTACATGTATTATTATTGTGCAAGCTAAATGTTATATTCTGTTACTGGTTACGATTTCTTTGAATTCTTCACCATGTTTAATCACCTTTCACAGTATATACACTCACCTAAAGGATTATTAGGAACACCCGTTCAATTTCTCATGAATGCAATTATCTAATCAACCAATCACGTGGCAGTTGCTTCAATGCATTTAGGGGTGTGGTCCTGGTCAAGACAATCTCCTGACCTCCAAACTGAATGTCAGAATGGGAAAGAAAGGTGATTTAAGCCATTTTGAGCGTGGCATGGTTGTTGGTGCCAGACGGGCCGGTCTGAGTATTTCACAATCTGCTCAGTTACTGGGATTTTCACTCACAACCATTTCTAGGGTTTACAAAGAATGGTGTGAAAAGGGAAAAACATCCAGTATGCAGCAGTCCTGTGGGCAAAAATGCCTTGTTGATGCTAGAGGTCAGAGGAGAATGGGTCGACTGATTCAAGCTGATAGAAGAGCAACTTTGACTGAAATAACCACTCGTTACAACCGAGGTATGCAGCAAAGCATTTGTGAAGCCACAACACGCACAACCTTGAGGCGGATGGGCTACAACAGCAGAAGACCCCACCGGGTACCACTCATCTCCACTACAAATAGGAAAAAGAGGCTACAATTTGCAAGAGCTCACCAAAATTGGACAGTTGAAGACTGGAAAAATGTTGCCTGGTCTGATGAGTCTCGATTTCTGTTGAGACATTCAGATGTTAGAGTCAGAATTTGGCGTAAACAGAATGAGAACATGGATCCATCATGCCTTGTTACCACTGTGCAGGCTGGTGGTGGTGGTGTAATGGTGTGGGGGATGTTTTCTTGGCACACTTTAGGCCCCTTAGTGCCAATTGGGCATCGTTTAAATGCCACGGCCTACCTGAGCATTGTTTCTGACCATGTCCATCCCTTTATGGCCACCATGTACCCATCCTCTGATGGCTACTTCCAGCAGGATAATGCACCATGTCACAAAGCTCGAATCATTTCAAATTGGTTTCTTGAACATGACAATGAGTTCACTGTACTAAAATGGCCCCCACAGTCACCAGATCTCAACCCAATAGAGCATCTTTGGGATGTGGTGGAACGGGAGCTTCGTGTCCTGGATGTGCATCCCACAAATCTCCATCAACTGCAAGATGCTATCCTATCAATATGGGCCAACATTTCTAAAGAATGCTTTCAGCACCTTGTTGAATCAATGCCACGTAGAATTAAGGCAGTTCTGAAGGCGAAAGGGGGTCAAACACAGTATTAGTATGGTGTTCCTAATAATCTTTTAGCTATGATATATTATTACAGTTGGTTTCCTGCAGGTGAATAGAAACAGAGCAGGGACT